TTTGTGATGGAAAACATGGGAATTATGGATTACATGGCTCATGGTACTGCGAAAATGGGAATCAGTTCCCTTATGATTCTGAATTAGCGAAGTTGTATTCCAAGATAAGTTGGAATATTGTCTTACCTGCAACACTTTAAGCAATAAACTTAAGTTCGCAATTGTAACATAATTTGGTCATGTGTACCGATCACCTGAAATGCGCAGTAGTCGATCGACGTGTAAAAGTGCATACATATGCATTATTTTTATTTCGTTTTTAACAAAAAATTCTTCCTACCAAAGCATTATACCCATTTCAAATATGCAAGTAGGACTACAGTATGTCTAAATAATCTATAATGCGGATATATTATTAGAGAATGAAGTGGGAAAGTAGAATATTTTTCTACAGGCAAGTTCCCGATCCTTTGTAATAATTTTTTCCATATCTAGGTAAGGACCCTAACTTATATGATTTAATGTATTGCAAATAAAAAAGCTTGCTTCGATTAGTTTGATCATTCGAGATCGTACACTAATTAATGCAGGGTAATTTAAAATCTTTTCATGATCAGTCCTGAAATTTGTGATTTCAACTTTTTTGTAAGATCATTTATAACATATTTTCCTACTTTTGAGTTCAATTTTTTCAGCCTTAAGCTTAGTAATTTCAGACTAACGTTCGAATTAAATATCACACGATTTAGGTTCAAGAAGCTTAAAATAGGGAGTCACTGATATAGGTTAAAAAGACGCAATGCAGGACCTTTGCAAAAAGGTTGATTTATTATTATGAATATACAGTACATTATTTCATGGATGTGCAATGCTCTAATGCTGATATATATGCAATTATCTTTTGAATAGTTTCTCAGAATAATGAAAGAATATTTTTTTTTTACATAATTAAAGGTATAATATGTCTTAAAGCAAATTTTTCGTGTTGATAAGTTTTAAATCCTGTCACTCAATAATTATTAATAAAAAAAACCTTACAATTAGACAACCCTTGTAATCGATCAAAGACACTATTGTCTCTCAGAAAGATGTAAGGGTTTCTTACAGATTTAAAATGTGGGATGTTATCTAAAATCTCATGACCAACTAAATCACAATTTACGCTTAAAGTATTCTTTGGCCATGAGTAAATTGATCGAGTTCGTATCCAGTTTGACCAGTTGATTTTGTCACTAAGACAGACTAACCATGACCTTGAGACCTGATAGATTCTTAAACCTCCTTCATATCCATTTGCAATGTCATATTCTGACCTCCAACCTTCGCGGGAGCTTTGTAGCCTTTGCCTTAAAAAGAATGGTATGGTGATAATTTTGGCTCCCGTATCTATAACCAAATGCTACCCATTATCAGTACCTGCCATTCTCACTTCGTTATGGGGATTTAGTGCGTCTCGAATACATATGTGTACCTAACATTTCATTTTGGCAAAGGAATACCCCATTTTTAGTAGTCATTGGCAGATATCATTCTTATTATAAAACACATCCAAACAATATCCGCCAATGCCATAATGTGTATAAATTATAAATGTACCTACCACTCATTTCTCGTTGCAGAGGCAATGGCAGAGAATCTGCGCAATAAAAAAGTCTTTCTAGTGATGGGTGCGAAGTACTTCCCTGGATATTTTTTCTCAAGCTGTTCGTAATCTTCTGATGATACATCTTTTTCGTAATATTTTAATACTTCTCCATAAACGATTAACACATACGATCCTTTCGGCTTATCTTCAAAAGCTCCAGATTTGACTAGACGATGATATGCAAGAGCATTTGTTGTAATCTCTGTTGCAACATCTTCCCATTCAGGATCAACAATGAATTCAAAAATTTCAAGGTGATCATTTTCAGTCATTTTAGTTAGCCAAATGAAGTCAGGGCCTACAAAATCTAAACAAGGATATATTAGCATTAGTAAAAATGCAATCAAGCTGGAACAGATTTATTATATATCATAAAATTTCTTTAAGTCTTTCTTTTTTGCAAATTGAAGACCTAGATTTTTAGCGAAGCTTTCGAGATTATTTTCCACTTCAGGTTTTGGAGTTTTGGATTCAGATACACTTAGGTCAGATGCATCTTCCAGGTTCATAAGTTCTTCATGCGGGTGACTTATTACAGGCGAGTTTTTAGACATTTTATCTGTAGGTGATTGGTATGTTAACACAGAATATGCAATATGATTCCGAAAGCTGAAAAAATAAAATAAAAATCTTTTTTCAAGAACTTTGGAATTTTAATTTTGCGTTTTAAGTACATATTGTTTTGGGAATTTGTATAACAAATTTTCCTTTAGGAGTATACTGAAATGGACAGCATGGTATGACGTTATAATTTCATAACTTGTCACATGATCTTATTTTTGAGTATGAGAAAATAATATTGTAAATTCCGGCATCTATGGTATGTTCCAGATCTTTGGCCAGCAAAATTTAAAATATCTTCATACTGTACATATCCAACAAATTTTAGCAGATTCTGGAAAAAATCCGGATCAAATATTAGCTGGAATTTACATAAGAGATTTTGAAGAAAGTTGGAGGAACAGAATTATAAAAGTATTTGATAAATGCCTTCGGCAAAATTTTTCTTTCTGGATCTTTGGTGATACTGCTCAAAATCGGCCATTGAGATGTTCGCCAAGGCATTCATCAAAACAATCAGTTACCTCTGGAAATAATAACCGTGAGCACAATATCTTGCAGGGCTTATTGCAAGAATTATCTACACCTGTTAGGGGGGAATCTATTGAGAATAATGAAG